CTCCTTGGTCGTGGTAGAGACATAATTTGCTAAAGTGGAGTCAAGGAAAAGGGTTTGCAGTGTTCCCTTGATCCTTCAAACTCCTTCAGATCTTGTAGGCTGGACAGATTCCTCACCATGCCATAACCTGCACGAGAGCCCAAGGTCATACAAACCCTCTTTTATTCCCGGGAGCAGTTTCTGACAAGTAATATCTGGAGAGGTCCTGATAGGAGTGAGAAGAATGTACTTCCCCAAACTTAGAGTCTGGGGCTGGTTCTCGACACATATGGTTTGTTTGCCTTTGCTGCAGGCTTCTGGGACCTCAGGGGAGAATCTTTCCTTCCCTAGGCCTACATATAGAAATTAATTTCCTTGTTAGGGCAGCCCAGACTCCCAGCTTCGCCAGGGTAACCCAGTGATGGAGTTATACATGAGATGGATTCTCATTAAAGTTGTGTGGAAAGAAAATATGATGTCACCCCCAAGATTATATTCCCGTCATTCCCCCTCTTTGAAGAGCTCTTGGGTGTGGGAGGTAAAAACCATTCTGTAGACAGGCCACATTCTGGTCCTTTGGTGCTGTGGTAATGATTTTTTCCTTTATGATTGTGTTCTGGTCCATCCTTTGTTACCTTGTCTGAGGATTTTGTTAGAATTCTCCAAGGACGGGTCTCGATATTTGTTTCTTTGGGATTGAACCCCACAGTGTTTAAGCATTGATGGTTATGAATCTGGCCATTTGGCATCTTTGCTACGAATCTGTTTCCTTCCCCATGCTCTTGGGAAGGTCACATTTCAGGCTGTCGCGTGTGGAACTCAATCCAGTGTTTCCCCTCAGCTTCTCTCAGATGCAGTTGGTACCTGTGTTCCAAGCTTCTGATCTCAGTCAGCAAAGATCTCAAGCATCCAAAATAAACAGGCATTCTTTTCCTGACTCTTACTATCAACCAACAATAGCCAAGTCATTGACCTGCTCTATGCCTCAGTTTCCCCATCTTGTACAATGACAAGACATATACCAGACATCGTCATAGTTCTCTCAGCTCTAACGGTCAGTGACCCCTTGTGATGCAAGTACTTTTGACAGTGACAATTTCATTTGTTTTAGGAGAGGATGAGTCCTGGCCCCTCTATGGATTTGTTTCCTCACTGTTAACATGAGGAGGACTCCCCTTTTATCCGAGTTGGGGGCACTGGTTGAGGAGGGCTGGTCAATACTTTATTGGGGCCTCAATGGGAAAACAAACAAACAAACACAGCCATGATAAGGATGACTCCTCATTCCTTCCCCTGACCATTTCTGGGTCACGTGGTCCCAGGATCAGTTTCAGAGGTAGATTGGTCCCTTTCTCACAGAGGGAAAAGTGACCTGCCCCTCAGGTGCCCGCTCTTTCATGTTAACTCTTCTTGCTCCAATTGAAATGCAGGGTTCGGAGCATTGGGTATTTATAGAAAGAGAGTACGCTAGACCCGAAGACCTGGGTCTTCTTACACTGGCCACCACACATCGGGAAGAAAGGGAGGCTGGCCTTGGCATTCTTGCTGATGGCAGACTCTCCAAGGTAGACGTTCTGGTGGACAAGTTCAAAGTTGAAGTGGCCACAGAAGAAATGGTAGGAGTCAGAAGACCCAGCACCCAGCAGAAAGGCAGGATAATTGCAAGTCCAGAAGACTTTGCGTCAGCGTGGGAGGAAGGCCCCTGGATCAGGGGAGACTCCGCAGGGTCTGCCCGGGCTGCAGGCTGTGTGTCATCAGACAAGGGCTCTGAGCTTAGGGCAGGCATCGGTGAGGCAGAGGTCAGCAACTACCATGTCTCAGATGGTCAGCTAGAGGGCCAGATGGAGCTGAGGAAGGGACTGAGGACAGATGGAAGACGCACAGCTGCAGAAGCCATGCGAGCGGAAGTGGACATTCCTTCTCCCGCCTCTGACAAGGGAGGACTCCAGTCCTTTCTATTGGACCCAGCTCATGCAGAAGCCAGAGCTGACTCAAGTGACGAGACGGATACCTCCTGTGCAGAGAGGAGCTTCTATCTAAACTATGGAGAGAAAGACTCTGGAGACCAAGGCCTCCCGCCACCCCCAGAGGATAGAGACCTGGATGGCCTTCCTGGAGGCAAGAGCAGCCTAGAGCTGTTGGGAGAGCTCTCGGAGACTTGGGAGCTCAATTCCTTGGTCCTGAGGGGCTCCGTCACAGCTTCGGGCAGGAACAAGGATGCTGCCTGCTCAGCTCCCCCAGACCAAGAGGCCAGGCTCCCCAGGATCCAGGGAAGCTCTGATGACCTGCAGGGACCTTCTCCAGGACAGCTGTTTGCTGAGGACAGGGAGGAAGGGCAGCGGGGGATAGAAGGAGGGTGTACTCACCCCCCCACCAGTGTGTCTGGAAAGAAAGAGGCCCCTGTGAGGGGAGCTTTGATGGGACCGGAGGAAGAAAATCCCGCCGCGAGACGGGACAAGCACTCCCCTAACAGAGGAGGGGTGGTGCGTCTGGACCCCCAGGCCTGCGCTCTTCTGCAGACCATCCCTTCCCATGTTAGAAGGCCCGCCAGACCAGACAGAGGCAACTTCCTGTCCAGAGACCCGGGAGTGGTTCCCACAGAAACCAGAGAACTTGCAACAGGGGACCGACAGGCCTCAGAGGTTCATCACATGGAGCTGATCATCCCGCTCCCAGCTTCCCCGGATCATACTGAGGCTCTGGAGGAAGTTTCTCCACACCCAGGCCCTGCTGGGCCACAACCGAGGGATCCCTTTGGAGAGCAGTTCCCTGTATTTCTCAAACCTGTCTATCTTCCTAAAGAGAGTTCAGAGTCCAAGGACCAGCTTGGGTTAATGGTGTCTCCTGACACAAAAGGGGAGCGCAGGGCACCGCCAGTTGTCAGCAAAAAGCCTCGGATTGTCTCTGAAGAAGCTGAGGGAGTTGTACCCCTAGGGGTGACGTTCCCTTTGGGGAAGCAAAAAGAAATGACTCCGTTCCAGGCTGAGGATCAGGTGGGATCCCTGGAAGATATTAGCAAGACTTCAGTGGCCAACAAGATTCGGATATTTGAGACGCACGGAGCTGAACCTCACCGAGCCAGTCAGGGTGAAACAAGGGCCCTTCCAAATGAGCTGACTTCGGAGGCCTCCATGGGACAGGTAGAGCTCCAGCGGAATAAGCTTCTAGACCTGGGGTTTGTCCAACTCCAGCCCCCAGGTGACTCCGCCAGCCCCAAAGACACGCATTCCTCTGCCATGCCTCTGGCTACCCGGCCCTTCTGGGAGGGTATTTCCGCTTCATCCCACCAGGAAAGATGCTCCGAGCTGGAGCTTGTGTCTCCCGATTCAGGCTGTGAAACCACGTTGGAGGAAGCTACTGGGGTAACTGGCCACGTGAGCCCCCCCGCTCCCACTGCGACCCCCCACCCAGGGGTCTGGCCGCATGTTGCGTAGCTCTTTAGAAGCATGCTTCAGTGATGCCCTCGTCATTCTCGCAATCCAAGGCTGCTGTCCATCCCTGTGAGGTCTCTTCCCCCTATGGTGCCCAAGAATAGCCCAGACCGAAGGATGGGCTCATCTGCTCAGCCCGTATTAGCTTGGCCACAAAGATCCTCAACTTTTGATGTGACCCCATGCCCAGAAGTTCACCCAAGTCCCATAGACAAGGGGCCATCACCACCAGCAGATTACCTATTTGCTTTGCCTTGCTGTCCGCTCTTGCTAGATCCCTTCCTGTCTTGCTTGGCTTATCCAGTGATCTTTCTTCATCCTTTCCCATCCCGGGTTTCCTGCCTTGTAGAAGTTGACAGTCCAGAAGTTTCCATCCTCCACTCTGGTTTCCCTCTCAGGTTTCTCTCTACTTCTTTAAGACTAACTTGTCTTCTCTAATCTAGAACAAATCCGGAGATGCAGTCAGGGAAGAGAAGCACGCGACCAGCTTAGCAGCGAACGCCCCTGGGAAGGGGGGGCGCCTGAGATTCGCCAGCCCCCCGAGTCCTCAGGTCTCTGCAGCTCCTTTATTCCCTGACCCCGATGACCTGGGTCATGTTCACCTGGCCAGGATGCATCGCTCTTTAGATTCCCACTTGCTCTAGCAGCGACTCCCTGTGGCTGCTCAACTCTGGCTTGTCTGGAATATATTCCTCACACTTCTGGTTCCGTCCTCCAGAATCCCGCTACACAGAGGCCCAAGGCCATTTAGCAAGTGAATCTCTAAGCACACTGAACCTCCACAACCTGAAGCTGAATTCTTTAAAAATAATATGTTGTGTTAGATTGGTCTTTATTTTTAAAAAAAAATGTCACAAACCAGCTGAAAATGTGTGTGGTGTTTAATCCCTGACAGGCCAGTTGAGAGGTTTGTAAGTCAGCAAGAGCACTGTTGTCAATTACACTGATCAGAACCTCCCCTCCTGGGAGCCCCCCAGCTCCCGGAAAACCAGTGCCTGAGGGCTTGACCTCTTAGGCTTTTCTGTCAGGTTAATGCCCACCCCTCCCACAGAGACTCAGTGAAATTGACAGGCTGTGCTGGCTTCCTGTGTGTGCCTCAAAGCTCTTGGCTCTAGCCTCTCTGCCTCCTCTCCTGGGTTTCCCTCAATCCCCAGCCTCTTTCCATAGTTTGTCTCTAGACGCCACCTGCACGGATGGGCCTGGGGTCCAGGCTTCCATCCCTGCCTTTCGCATAATACCGCTTCTGATGGGCTCCGGGATCCAGGCCTTGGATGGGGGCCTCCTGTCCAGGATTTGCCAGCAGGATGTTTTGCTTTGTACTTGCTTTTGGCCATCAGCGTGAGACCCTCCAAAGGAGCAGCCTCAACCTTGAGAATCTTTTTTTAAATTTCATTTGAACCTTGTTATAATTTCAAAGAACCTTACCTGGGGTTGTTTTTCATTTCCTGACCTGCGCTTCCATTCAGGGGACATCAACACAGCCCCAAGATTTCCGACATTTACCATCTTTATCTCTCTCTCTCTCTCTATTGTTCTCTCTCCCCCCCGCCCCTCCTGCATTCCCGTTCCCCTGATTTTATCTGGCCATAGAGAGCGGGGCTGAGGGAGGGCTCGGAAGAGAAAGCCAAACCTCCACGTCCTCGGGCCCCAGAGAGTGACACTGGAGATGAGGACCAGGACCAGGAGAGGGACCCCGTGTTCCTGAAGGATAACCATCTGACCATTGAGCGCAAGTGCTCCAGCATCACGGTCAGCTCTGCATCCAGCCTGGAGGCTGAGGTGGACTTCACAGTTATTGGCGACTACCACGGCAGCGCCTTCGAAGACTTCTCCCGCAGCCTGCCCGAGCTGGACCGCGACAAAAGCGACTCCGAAACCGAGGGACTGGTGTTCTCTCGGGATCTTAAGGGGCCCTCAAGCCAAGATGAGGAGTCTGGGGGCATCGAGGACAGCCCAGATCGAGGGACCTCTTCCACCCCTGAAATGCCCCAGTTTGAGGTATAGTGGAGCGTTGTGGAGACTCGGCCTACCCAAGCACTGCATGCTCAGAGGGCCCTGGGCCATGTGGGGGAAGACACAGCAGCCAGCTGCAGCCTGCAGCCTGTGTCACGTTGCATGACTGCCCATCTGTAGAACAGCATGGTTCTAGGTCCGCATGTTTGCTCTGTCTCAGTTTCCCCCTAACACTAGATCCTGCTGTTTTAACCCTGGGACCCCATCGCTTGCTGAGGTCAGGTGATGATAGAAGTATGATCTTTCTCAACTCCTTGTCTCCCTGCCTGTGTTGCCTAGCACGTGCTGACAGCATGTACCCGTGGACTTCCAGGGCTCCCACAGTCTCATCTGCAACTCAAATGTTTTCTGTGGTCCTGGAGCTTGAACTTAGGGCCTGGGTGCTGTCCCTGAGCTTTTTTTGCTCAAGGCTAGCATTCTACACTTTGAGTCACAACACCATTTCTGGTTTTCTGGTGGTTAATTGGAGATAAAATTCTCATGGACTTTCCTGCCTGGACTGGCTTTGAACTGAGATCCTCAGATCTTAGCCTCCTGAATAACTAAGATTACAGGTGTGAGCCACTGGTGCCCAGCTTCAAATCTTTTTGTTTTGTTTTGTTTTTTGATCCAAGCCCAGACTCTTCTCCCTGGGGTCTGGGCTCCCTAGGAGAAGGAACAATCCATCAGGTTCTGGGGTCTCAGGCTGGTCGTGGAAACTCCTGTAGAACAAGAAATATAGACATTAAGGAGTACTTGGGGAGAAACTCTGGGCCTCTGCTTTGTGGCTTACCTGTAAACCATGCCACATTCTGCCTTTGCCTCTCACCTTTTGTGACCCACAGTGTGACAGACCAGTTTGTCTGTGCTGGGCTCTCACTGCATGCTGTTTCCTCTGTGCCTTACAAACTTACCGTGATGGTCCAGAGCAGAGCTCAGATAGCTATGCCCCTATAAGCTATGCCCTTACAAGCACTCTCCTGGCTACCCTGGGTATTGGCCCTGCGTACCCTGGCCTGCTTTGATAGCTCCACTCCAGCATCAGCCAGGGCAGCAGCTGCAAAGTCTGCTCACACACTCCCCCCATACACACCCACCATGTGGCAGCCCCTCTAAACCCGGCACATACTTAGCACCACGAGATGATTAAGTGAATGGCTAGATTTTGGGGTTACAGCCATCTACAAGAGACACACCCCTCCCCTCGTGCCTTCTCCCCTGCCCTCTCCCCCTCAACTAGATGACAAGCTTGTACCATTCAGTTCACATATGTGACAGTGGGTACAGCCATGTGCTAGGCCTCATGGAGAAACTGATCATGTAGCTTTAGCCTGCTAGAGCAGAGGTTGTTGGAAACTAATGGCCTCTGCTCGATCTGGCCAGCAGACCTTTTCTTTGACTTAAAAAAAAATTATGACACTGAATATAAGATCTGATGATAGACTCTTAGGTCAATAAAAAAATAAATAAACAAGCAGGCAGGGTGCCAGTAGTGGCTCATCTGTGCCTGTCTCCCAGCTACGTGAGAAACTTGAGATCAAGACGATTTGGGTTCCAGGCCAGCCCAAGCAGTAAAGTCCATTAGATTCCATCTCAACGGAAACTGGATATGGTAACATGAGCCACTCATGTCAGCTATGATGCGAAGTTTAGGCAGGAAGCAAGACTCTCTCTTAAAAATAACCATCACTGTACTAGGATGGGAGGTATTGTTCAGTGGTCAAGTACCTGCCTAGCAAATGTGAGGCTCTGAGTTTAAACCCCAGTACTGCCAAAAACAAAAACAAAAAACAAAGTCCCTTCTCAGAGCCAATGCTAAAAGATGGACCAGACCCAACTTGAATCCTACAGGTTCTCCACCTGCCCCACCCCTCAGCCTACCCTCCCCGTTCCCATTCCCTACCTGACCCCTGAAGACCACAGATAAAATCTTCCTCTGAAGCAACCAGCAAGTGGAGGGTTAACCATTGGTGTGCTGATGGATTCCACAGCATTTTATATATAAGGAAAACTCTTAGTGTGGGGCCTGGTACAGCGTATATTGGTAATAAGTGGTATCAGTAGTATAAAAAGACACACAGCACCCCACCTGACCCCCTGGTGTGGTACCAGGGATAGGGGGTGGGCCTTCCTGATACCGACAGGGGCTCTGACGTTCCTTGGGCTATTTTGACATTGCTTCTGATGTCAGTTCTGACCTGCCTACCTTTCCAGAGGTCTGGCCAGCTACGGGGGGTAGGAGGTGTGTGGGAACTGGAGTTTCCAAGTGCTTTCCTTTCATCTCCCACAGCCTGTAAAAGCAGAAACTATGACTGTCAGCAGTTTGGCCATCAGAAAGAAGATCGAGCCAGAGGCCGTACTTCAGAGCAGAGTCTCCACTATGGATAGTGCCCAGGTAGCCTTCTACTGTATTGAGCCTGGGGGGCCCCACTGCTATGGCCAAGCCCCTTGGCCAACTACATTTTGCCTTCCCTAGAGCCCTCATTTTAATCTTGATCCTCTTGAGTCTCAGTGTCTGCCCTGAACGCTAGGACTGGAGGGAAAGGAACAGACCACAATTCTAAAAGTCTGAATTTCTCCATCTAGAAAATGGGAGTGGTCCAGCTTCCTCCATTCTCCTGGAATGTTGCCAGGAATAGTGGATGGTAGACTGGTGCTCTGGCTTTCAGACCACTGCTAGGGATTGAAGAGATCTTGCCCGAAGGGAGCTCAGAGGGAAAAATCCTAGTCCCCGTTTGGTCATCCATCATACGTGGGAGCTCCACAGTAGATTAACAAGATAAATTAGCAGTGGGGTGAGGGTGAGACTAAAAGTTGTCTTGGCAAGATGAAGCATGTGTGGCATCCAGAAACACACAGGTGCACAGGTGTGCTGCGTCCTGTGCTCTTTCCACGCTCCATTCAAGGGCTTTAAACTTGTGGCCAGAGAGCTGCAGTGTTTGGGGCTTTCGTGTCCTGGCGACCAGTCTTTGTTTCAAAAACTGAAGTAAGAGAGGAGCTGTGGCTCACAGTGGTAGAGCACTAGCCTTGAGCAAAAGAGCTCAGGGACAGCGCCCAGGCCCTGAGTTCAAGCCCCACAATCAGGGGAAGAAAAAAAAACTGAAATAAGGGCCACTTGTACGGTTGTGGCTCCGTATAGAGTGTTTGCCTAGTATGTTCACAACTCTACGTTTGATCCCCAGCATGTGTGCACACAAGTGCACACACACATATACAAGCCTAAAATAAGACCTAGACAAACCAGATGGGCAGCTGCCTCATTTCCTTCATTTTCTCTCTCATTTTTTTCAAGGACACTGGAGAGTTATGAGGCTGCCTGGTCCAATCAAGATTCTTGACTTCTAATGAGTTGTGTGACCCCTAGCAAGCTTCTTTTCTTCTCTGACCTTTTTTGTTTCCATGAATTCTTTTTTCCTCCTTCTCTTCTCCTTCTCCTTCCCCTTCTCCTCCTTCTCCTTCTCCTTCTCCTTCTTCTTCTTCTCCTTCTCCTCCTCCTTCTTCTTCTTTTGTCTGTTGTGGGGCTTGAATTCTGGGCCTGGGCACTGTCCCTGAGTTCCTCAGCTCAAGGCTGAAGAGCTTGAACTACAGCACCACTTCCGGTCTTCTGGTGAATAATTGGAGATAAGAGTCTCATGGATGTTTATGCCCAGGCTGGCTTTGAACCGTAATCCTCAAATCTCAGCCTCCTGAGTAGCTAGGATATAGGTGTGAGCCATTGGCTTCAGGCTGTATCAGTGATTTGTAGTTTATTTTATTTTCATTAATGAAAAGTATTTTTAAAAAACACCGGGCTGGGATGTAGCTCAGTGGCAAAGCGCTTACCTAGCAAGTGCAACGTCCTGGGTTTGATCCCCAGTACCAAAAAAGAAAAAAAAAAAAAGTCAAAAAACACCAAAAGAAAACAACAACAAAAGCCTAAATTCTATAACTCACTAACTCTTCTTACTGACATCAAAACAACACAACAAAAAGTTTCCATTATAAAACTCAAACAGAACCAAATGAATTTTTTCTTATGCTGCCTCCTGGGAAAAAATTATGCACATGCCAATGTATATACCTACATCCCAATAGGCTTAAAATATTTACATTGAGGTGGTCATTATCTTTCACACTTTACCTTTCTTCCTTAGCAAGTGTTTTAGATCACACATTTTTTTTTCACCTGTGCAACACCGTACTCTGTCCTTGACCCCATGTAGGAAGCAATTCCTTATTTACTTTATTCTATTTCTTTCTCTTTTTTTTTTCTTTTTTCTTTTTTGTCAGTCATGGAGCTTGAACTTGGCCTGGGCGCTGTCCCTGAGCTTTTCAGCTCAAGACAAGCACTCTACCACTTGAGCCACAGCGCCACTTCCAGTTTTCTAGTGGTTAATTAGAGATAAGAGTCTCACAGACTTTCCTGCCTGGCCTGGCTTTGAACCGTGATCCTCAGGTCTCAGCCTCCTGAGTAGCTAGGATTACAGGCGTGAGCCACTGGTGCCCAGCTATTTTGTTCTATTTCTTTAGTGGTAGTTTTTATCCTCTACTATTTATTTAGTGTCAGCACTATGACTTGACTCAAGGCTTGGGCACTGTCCCTTACCTGATACTCTTACCACTTGAGCCACATGTGGCTCTACTTCTGGCCATTGGTGATTAATTGGAGATAATAATCTCACACATTTTTCTGCCCAGCCTGGCTTTGAATCTTGATCCTTACATCTCAGCCTCCTAAGTAGCTAGGATTACAGATGTCAACCACCAGCACCCCACTAGTTTTTGTCTCCTAATAATCAATACTGCAGTGAACTTCCCTGGACCTATTTCTTAGTAGACTTTGCAAAATTTATATCCAAAGTATAAATTCCTGTGGATTCCTAGGTCAAATGAAATTTAGATAGAATCTGTCAACTTGTGTTGGGTTATTGTTTCCTTTGTCTAGTAGAATGGCTGGAGTGAAGGGGAGGGCCTGGGCAGCCCCTCTGTCATTAGCTTACCACTTTGTTACTGGCTGTGCCCCAGCCCAGGTAACAGATGCTGCAAGTATGTCTAGCTTTTCCCATCTCTTAACTCCTCCTCTGCCCAGCAGGCTGATGGGAGTGCTGTACTGGGGAAAGACTTCATGACAGCTCCCCCCTCCATTACCACGGAGACCATATCGACCACCATGGTAAGTGGGACCCGGAGGCCCTTCTCTCTAACCTCCCCCACCCCCAAAAGCAGCCAGATCATGTGTGGAATGCATTGTATTGACAGGACACACCATCCGATCTCCGTTGTCTGGTACTTTGGACACTGTCAGACCTCGGCTTTCTAAATTGAATCTCCGAGTCTCTGTAATCTAAACCATCTCAGCCACGTAGGGGCCGAAGGACGATGGGATGATTTGATTTGTGCCATGGGTGAATCTCCTCTTCAGGTTTCCCTTGCTGAAAGTAAACCTGAGAGTCCTTTCATAGCTCATCCTCTGGGTGGCTGCATATTTTTTTTTTCCTGTCTCAGGCCACTTCCTGGCTGTGGGCAATAGAGGGCAGTATTGAACCAGAGTTGAAAACAGGATTTTAATTAATTAATTATTTTATTTTATTTGCTAGTCCTGGGGTTTGAACTCAGAGCCTGAGCACTGTCCCTGAGCTTCTTCTTTTTTTTTTTTTTTCTCAAGGGTAGCACTCTACTACTAGAGCCACAGTACTACTTCCAATCTTTTCTGTTTATGTGGTACTGAAGAATTGAAAACAGGGCTTCATGCATGCTAGGCAAGCAATCTACCACTAAGCCACATTCCCAGCCCAGGATTTTATTTATTTGTTTGTTTACTTATTTGTTTTGGGGTGCCTGTCTTGTGGCTTGAATTCAGGGCCTGGGCACTGTTTCTGAGCTTTTATGCTCAAAGCTAGCACTCTACCACTTGGGGCACAGCTCTATTTCCGGCTTTTTGCTGGTTAGTTGATGGTAAGAATCTGACTTTTTCTGCCTGGGCTGGCTTTGAACTGCGATCCTCAGTTCTCAGCCTCCCAAGTAGCTAGGATTACAAGCATGAGCCACCAGCATCCAGCTGGAAACACGATTTTTAGATCCATAACGAGGGACCTTGGGGTTCTGCTACCTATTTGCTGTCTAACCTATGAAGAAGTGTTCTCGGCCTTAGGTATCCTCATCTGCCTAGATCACAGGTCCTAAGAGAACTTTAGAGCCTTTAATCACAAGAAGAGCAGGCAGCTCTTGCACATAGGTTATGTGCCAGGGGAACATGCTGAGAACCTTGGCCAGAATATAAAGCGGTGAGGGCTCCTATACAGTCAAGGAAACTCATTCAGAGTGGGAGAGGTCCCACATGGAATAAATAAGTGGAAGTGATGGGTTCATGCCAGACATTCTGACACTGGAAGCCTGGGTTTCAATATCTACCACTCTGCTTCACCCCTGGTGTCCCGACCTGTGTAAAAGTCAGCCCATGGGGCTGAAGTTAGCAATGCCGAATCCAGATATTTCCTAAGATATTGAGGTCTGTTTTCAAATTCTCTTTGTTGCCAAACCTCTGACATGAGAAGAGAACTCCATTAATCTAATCTCCCCAGCAGGTAGGTTTTATGCAAACAAGGCTTTAGGATCAATAAGCCCAAAACAAGTTACCATTTTGCCCACTTTTCTCTGGTTTCCCAACTCTTCCTCTCCCCCAGCGCATCACTGTGGGGCATTGGGATGCTTGTGGGGCTGGATTTAAATTTCTCTTTATGGTAAATAGGCATTTATATCATTCATTGACCCATCTATCTGTCCATGCATCCATGTATCCATCCATTCATCCATCCTTCCTTCCATCCATCCATCCATTTGTTCCCAAAACCCTGATGAGTCTCTACTGTCTGCCTGGTACAGGGACACAGAAATGAAAGAAATACACTACCTTCTAGGATTCCTTTGTTCAGTCATCATCATGAGCATCTGGAAGGTGCTGTGCCCTATATGTAGGTTCTGGGCACACAGTGGTGAACAAGGCCCTCCTTCTTCTTGGCTGATGACTTATGGAAAGTCTCCTCTACCTCTCCAAGCCTCGGTTTCAACTTCTGTAAAAGGGGGTGGAGGCAATAATGGCACATATCTCAAAAGGTTTATTTGAGGAATAATCTATGCAAAGCCATATTGTAAGGGGTCTGTAGGTTTGAGCTGCTGCTGTTATCTTTCCTACCCGTAGGAAACAATGCAATAAAGCTGGCTTAGGGAATACCAGGAGGGTAGTTCCTGGTGCCATCTCTGCCAGGATGAGCTAGGGAAGGTGCCATCTAAGCACGGTCGATTGAACTGTGTTAAGGATAACCCAAGGTAAGGGAAAGGATTGTAGGTGGTGGGAAGAGCAAGTATAAAGGTAGGAACATAGCCAGGCACTGGTGGTTCATGCCTGTAATCTTACTACTCAGGAGGCTGAGATCTGAAGATTGTGGTTCAAAGTCAGCCGAGGTAGGAAAGTCCATGAGACTCATCTCCAGTCAACCACCAGAAAACTGGAAGTAGTGCTGTGGCTCAAAATGGTAGCCTTGAGCCAAAGAGCTCAGGGACAATGCACAGACCCTGAGTTCATGCCCTAGACCAACCAGAAAAAAAAAAAAAAAAAAAGGTGGGAACATCAACTAGCAAAACATCCAGAAAGTTCTGTGATCAGAGCAGGCAGGTGTCAGTAGCAGGCAGAGGGTGAATGTTGGAAAGGATGGAGGCAGAACTTGAACAATGTCTGGTGTCATACACAGAGTTCAAACTTTATCCTGGAGAAAATGGAGGATTATTTACATTTTGAGAGCAGGAGAATGATATCAGTTCTGTTTCTGTGTTTTTAAAAAAGTATTAGCAATGTCGGGTGCTGGAGGCTCATGCCTGTAATCCTAGCTACTCAGGAGGGTTCAAAGCCAGCCCTGGCAGCAAAAGCCATGAAGCTCTTATCTCCAATTAACCACCAGAAAACTGAAAGTGGCACTGTGGCTCAAGTGGTAGAGCACTAGCCTTGAGCTGAAGAGCTGAGGGACAGCACCCAGGCCCAAAGTTCAAGTCCCACGACCAGCAAAAAGAGAGAGAGAGAGAGAGAAGAGATTAGCAGGCACTGGGAAGGTGGCTCAGTGGTAGAGTGCTTGCCTCACGTGCATGAAGCCCTAGGTTTTATTCCTCAGGACCACATAAGCAGAAAAAGCCAGAAGTAGTGCTATGGCTCAAGTGGTAGAGTACTAACCTTGAGCTGAAGAGCTGAGGGACAGCGCCCAGGCCCAGAGTTCAGGCTCCTCTACCAACCAAAAAAAAAAAAAAAAGATTAGCAATATGGAGTGTGGTTAGAGCAAAAATGCCTTCCCTTCTCCCTGCATCCTCCCATCTTCCTGCTTCCTTCCTCCTTTCAATAATATTTATTGAACGCCCACATGTGTGAAGTGTTGTGCCAGACACTGTGAAGCCAGCACTGGAGAAGGCGACCTCCGGAGCTTGGGGACCCACTCTGGGAAGACACGGAGAGAAGATGGGTGTCCAGCTGGAGTATGGCTGGGACTAGAGGAGAGCTCGGGTTAGTTAGGTGTGGGAGAGGAAAGTACAGGGTACGGTCACTAGGGGAAGGCTCAGGAGACAGAATTTAGGGTGGACCGGGGACACTTCCCTAGTCACAGCATGGTCCCAGGTGCCAAAGTGACAAAGGGAAATTCCAGTCCACCCTTCAGCTGAGAGGGGGCCAGCAGTGACATTTCTAGGCAAAGGACAAGGAGACAACTGGCTTTAAAGATATAGAGTTCAAGAAAGATCTAGGCTATAGTAAAGGGATGGGAGACCTCCCTTCTGGCTCAGTGAGGCCGACGAAGCCATGGATTGGCAGAGAGTGGCGAGGGAGAAAGTGTGGAGGAGGAAGGATGGCAGGATGGCCTTGGCCAGGGAGAGGACACACTACTTTTTGAGATAAGAAAGGGCTCTACCTGAAGATACAGCCGGGGTAGGCAGGAACAGACAGCCCCTGCAGATTCAACAACTTGTGTCTATTTAGAAGTGTGAAGGTAGAGGTAAAGCTTGCCCCAAGAGACAGGGATCAAGGCTGTTTCTGGAAGAATGGCCTGAACGATCCCCATCATCACTGGTTGTTCCCTAACACAGAAGAAGAAAACGCTGAGACCTTATTCTGGGATCCAGGATGCGTCTGAGAAAGTACCTTGTGATGACCTGTCAAATGACCGGGTCACTAACAGCTGTTGCTGTATATGGGTGTGAGGGAGGTAGGAAAAGGCAAAAGGTCCAAGGGTAGAGTGGTAGTTCACACCTGAGTACCTACCTGTTTGTCTTGGAAGTGGCCTGGTGTGGAGTTACCTTCTGGCCTGACCAACTTGCTGAGGGACTTGAAGAAGCCACTCAGTATGCTTTTGCCCTCTTGTATCTCAGCTGTAAAACAGGAATGTGAGAACAACTTTCCTATGGTCATTGAGAAGATTAAATCTGATCATGCATATCACCTGCTGAGTTTCTTACCTAGCCCACAGCAAGTCCTTGGGAAGCGATAGCTAGTATATGACTCATCACCAGCCTGGTTCCCACACTTATACTACATTTTTGATTTGCAAAATCCTTCTCTCCCCCTTTCCTTCTCCTCCCCCCGCCACACACCATTTCCTAAGATCTCCATGAGAGCAGGCAGGATTCATTTTTTAGAGAGGAATCTACAAAGTCCATAGAGGAAGACGTGGCGCTTCCCTAAGTCACATGACTAGAATGGAGCAGGGCCAGGACAAGAACCTGAGTGTCCCCACCCCTCTGGTACCATACCTTGTTCACCACAGTGTCCCTACCACCAGGCACTCAGTAAATGTTGGATGGATGATCAGTGTGTTGAATGAGTATGCTGAGTGAGTGAGTGGGCATGTGTGTGTGCAAATGCCTAAGGAGGAGACTGAAGTGAATGGTACCTTCAGCTCTCTGCTTCAGTGCCACTCCTTAACCTTGTAGCCATGAGGGCCATATGGCCACATGTCCCAGCCATCCTGGGCCCTGCCCACCTGAGACCTGGCCATCTGAGCGCTATTGTTTCCCCAGGAGAACAGTCTCAAGTCCGGGAAGGGGGCAGCTGCCATGATCCCAGGCCCACAGACGGTGGCCACGGAAATCCGTTCTCTTTCTCCGGTAAGTGGGCAGGGCCAGCACAGACTAGGGGTCTTCCTGCTAAGAATGTGGGCACAGGCCTGCATGTAGCACACAGTAAATGCAGCGATGAGCTCAGAAGGTGCCCTTTGAAGTGTAAAGCCAGGAAACAGGATCGTTTTCCAATACCCACAGGCTTCCTGGTGCCTACCCGGCTCTCCTCCATTCCCTGTGTGCCCTTCTCGTGCAAGCAGAGCATTGGCAACCTGGGGGTAAACAGACTCCCTTGTTACATTCACCCCTCCTACTGACCAGGAACACTGATGAACTAGGAGTCCAGAGACTTGAACTCTGGGCCTGGCTTTGTGGATGGTTGCCCCACTCAAGACAGGGTCTGTCACTGTCTCTTCCAGCTCTTTGATTCTCTGCCCATTGTTCTTATCATCTAGCCCTGGAGAGTGCATGTTCCTGACCATGACAGGATGAGGGAATCAGGAAGAATCCATCCCCACTACTTGCTCTTTTCAGATTCCAGGATTTTTAGACTCTAGGTGGCAGTAACATTTTGGAGCTCAGGAATCTGAGATTCCTGGGTTTGAGAGTGTTTATGGGTCCAGATTTTAGAAAGTTGAAGTATTCTTGAATTCTTAGTGGTTCAATGCATCTTGGCTTCTAAGCTTCACCTTTATGGGGTCCCTGCTAGTCATCCCTGGGTCTCCCCGACCCTGCCTGCCCTGCAGAGCACAAGTCCTGACCTGACACCCAGGGTGGGGGTGGTTTATTCTGCAGATCATCGGGAAAGATGTCCTCACCAGCACCTACGGCGCCACCGCGGAGACCCTCTCAACCTCCACCACCACTCATGTCACCAAAGTGAGTAGCAGCAGGCGCCCGGGCCCCAGGGGGCTGCAGGCGGGAAGGCCATGACCACAGCTCAACTTTGATTTCTCAATCTGTAAGGCAAATAGAACCCTAGTTTCTAGAGTGCTGTGCATTTTGTCCTGTGCTATTGTTGGCCTAGGCCTCTTCTTTTCTTTCCACCCTTCCTGGCTTTACTTGGGATTTCCTTCCACCACTCCCTCCTTAAATATGGCAACCAATTAGGTCCTGCCCTATCTTCTACTTCTAAACTTGCACCCAGATCCTGTGCCTTGAGAAAACAGTAGGGGCACTAAGCTTCATCAGTATGATCTACTCTTGTAATATTGTTTGAAGTCATTTCAGGTAGAACCTTGTCACCATTCACATTTCATTCATGTGTTCATTCAACAAAATCTGCATTCAGCACTGCCCTGGTCAGATTGGGCAAGGGAATGGGGGAGGAGGAGCTACAGAGATGAATGAAATACAGGCCCTACCCTCGAGAATTCCAAGTCTGACTGGGTGAGCAAGATCACATGCAGACGCAGAAGGTCAGCGCCAAGCAGAAACCCAGAATTAGGAGAGATCTGCAGCTCTGTCCTCTTAGAATGGCCTTGAATCCTTGCCAGCTAAGGTACGGATGGTAGCGGCCAAGCAAGATCTGCTATCTGAAGATCCAAAATGAGAAAATGGAAGGAAAACTGCAAAAGGCAAGAGAAGAGGGTCCTCATACTTGCTCTTGAAAGGTGTTTAGAGTAGGTGCCCTATTGTGGCTACTGTCCCAGCAGACCCAAGAGAAAGCTCATCTCCCCCCCTCTCCTTCTCTCTCTCTCTCTCTCCCTCCTCCCTCTCCCTCTCCCTCTCGTTCTCTCTCTCCCTCTGCAGACTGTGAAGGGAGGGTTTTCTGAGACCAGGATTGAGAAGCGAATCATCATTACTGGCGATGAAGATGTTGATCAAGACCAGGTACAGAAAGAGGAAAGGTTATTCCCCATGGCACTGTCCAGTCTCTAGCCCTTCCTATAATGGGTGACCCACAGATAGTACGTTCTGGGCAGAGAAGGTATCCATTTCTTGCTGACCTTGAGCAAATAAGAAACTCCAAGGGAGGGGCATTGAGCAGAGGCCAGAGTTTCTAGTTTCTCCCTCTGACCATTTGACTTTGGTTCTGCCCCCAGCCTCAGTCTATGCTCTCATGTTCTATGGTGCCTCACTTTGCTGCTCTACCCTCCAGGCTCTGGCATTGGCCATCAAAGAGGCCAAGCTGCAGCATCCTGACATGCTGGTAACCAAAGCTGTCGTATACAGAGAAACAGACCCATCCCCAGAGGAGAGGGACAAGAAGCCACAGGTAAGGCTCTGAGGTTCAGCAGCCAGGAAGGGGAGGTAGGAGTAGGGGAAGAGCCATTTCTACCTCAGCACCCAAGTGGGTTAATCCTATTACAGTGTTGACCCCTCACCTACCTGGTTTATGGTTCAGGGAAGTCAGGGAGCTCCTCCAGACATGAGTCTGAGGGAGGAGAGAAAGGAAGACTAGCTCCTCAGTTTCTTTCTTTCTTTCTATTATTATTATCTTTAAGTAGTTGTATGAGTGCAGTGCATTTTGATCAGCGTCACCCTTTTTATCATTCTCTCCATCCCTGGATGGGGATGTGACTCAATGGTAGAGGTCCATGCTTAGCGAGTGTGAGGCTCCAGGTTCAATCCTCAGCACCAAAAGGGAAAAAAACAAACAAACAAAAAACTATTGAGCTCTTGCAGGTGCCAGTGGCTCACACCTGTAATCCTAGCTACTAAGGAGGCTGAGATCTGAGGATCTCAGTTCAAAGCCAGCCTGGGCAGGAAAGTCCCTGAGATTCTTATCTCCAATTAACCAGAGAAATGGAAGTGGAGCTGTGATTCAAGTGGTAGAGTGCTCATCTTGAACTGAAGAGCTCAGGGACAGTGCCCAAGCCCAGAGTTCAAGCTCCACAACTGACAAACACACACACACACACACACACACACACACACACACACACACACACACACACAACCTATCAAGCTCTTAGTGAGAAATGGTACATATATCATACTTCATACAATAAAAAAAAATTTGCCTCAGAGACTCCATAAATAGTAGCTGGTCCCCTGTTTTGCATTTTTTTCCTTGAATAAACAACATCAATGTCTTCTAGAAAGATATAATACTTTGCTTACTCAAAGTGAGCAATCAAATGGTACACAGAGACTTTGCCTTAATAAGCTGAGACAAATACATTGTAGTACAGTATTGTTGGGATGAACCCCCTCCCCCTCCCTCCTCTAAGTGAAGGTATTTTCCATACACTGTCAGCAAGAGGGAGGTACTTGCCCAGCTTCTTTGAGCTTCCTTCCCTTCAAACGTTTAACTACATAGAGAAAATTTACCTATTCCAGAACAGGAACCTTGGATTCTAGTCTTACTTCTGCTATAACTTGGTAAATCGTCAAATCTCCCGGGCCTCAGTTTTCCCATCTGTCAAAGGAACAAGAAGCACCCATTTCTAGGAATGTCCTTAATACTTGACCTATGAAAAGCAGAAGGCCGGTAGTCCATATGCTCAGTGGTTTTTGTTTTTGTTTTTTGTTTTTGGGTCCGGTCATGGGGCCTGAACTCTGGGCCTGGGCACTGTCCCTCAGCTCTTCAGCTCAAGGCTAGCACTCTACCACTTGAGCCACAGCGCCACTTCCTGCTTTTTTCTTTTTGCTTATGTGGTGCTGAGGAATCGGACCCAGGGCTTCATGCATGCAAGGCAAGCGCTCTACCACTGAGCCACCTTCCCAGCCCTGCTCAGTGGTTTTGAGTAGTTGTTGAGTGCAGGCACAGTGTTGGGCGCTGGTGATAGATAAAAGGCTTTACTCTGCTGGGCACTGGTGATTCATGCCTGGAAACTTAGCCTCTCAGGAGGCTGAAATCTAAGGATCATGGTCAGAAGTCAGCCTGGGCAGGAAAGTCTGTGAGACTTTTTTTTTTTTTTTGGTCATGGGGCTTGAACTCTGGGACTGGGCCTGGGCCCTGTATCTGAGCTCTTCAGCTCAAGGCAAGTGAGCACTCTACCACTTGAGCCACAGCACCACTTCTGTTCTTCTGGTTGTTAATTGGAGATAAGAGTCTCATGGACTTTCCTTCTTGGGCTGGCTTTGACCTATGATCCCAGACCTCAGCCTCCTGATTAACTAGGATTACAGGTGTGAGCCACCAGCGTCTGGCCTCTGTGAGACTTTTACCTCCAGTAAACTAATAAGAAAATAATCGAAAGTTTTGCTGTGGCTCAAGTGGTAGAGTTCTAGCCTTGAGGACAAAGAGGCTCAGGGACAGCACTTAGGCCCTCTATTCAAGCCCCAGGACCAGCAAAAAAAAACAAAAACAGAAAAACAACCTTTCCCTTCAGAGATCAGGGCAAGAACTGTGGTTAAATCATCAGCATCAACCACAGTAATAATAACAGCTGATTGTTGCTCAGCACTTCCTGTATTCTGGCTTTGCTGACACTCCTCTATAACTGCATGAGACAAGACCCATGTTTTAGAAGAAACGGAAGCTCAGAAAGGTGAAGAAATCTGCCCATGATTGCAATGATGGCCAAGGAGTGAGATTTAAACTCAGAGTCTGATTTCAGAGCCACACCCCTTACTTTGAGTACTAGCATACAATCTGAGCCTCCAGGGTTGTTTTTGTTGTTGTTGTTGTTGATTGTGGGGTTTAAACTCAGGGCTTGGGCCTATCCCTGAGCCTCTTTGTGCTCAAGGCTAGCGCTCTACCAATTAAGACACAACACCATTTCCAGTTTTTGAGTGGTTAGTCGGAGATCAGAGTCTCATGCAGGGGTCTGGGTGTCTGTAATCCTAGCTACTCAGGAGGCTGGGATCTGAGGACTGCAGTTCAAAGCCAACCAGGACAGAAAAGTGTCCATAAGATTTTTTTTTTTGGTCGTGGGGCTTGAACTCTGGGCCTGGACAGGGCCCCTGAGCTCTTCAGCTCAAGGCAAGCACTCTACCACTTGAGCCACAGTGCCATTTATAGCTTTCTGGTGTTAATTGGAGATAAGAGTCTCATAAACTTGGCTTCAGCTCCAGTTTCTTAAACTCGAGTTTACTCCCCAGGTCACAGAAGTCCCATGGAAAACAAAAAGGAAAAGTAAATTGAGATGTTAGCTTCTCAGTATTAGAGGGTATTTTAATAAAATGTCAGGCTGAAGGGAAAGACATTACCTCCCTGGAAACAATCTAGCAAATACACCTGGGCTCTGGGCTCTGGCCAGTTAGCTGCACACCAGCTGTGTGGCTTTGCATAGGTCACTGTCTCTCTGAGTCACAATAAAGGGCATACGGTCAAGGGTATCTAGAACTTGACATGTCTTTAAATATAAACAACAAAACCTACTAAATTCTCCTTGCCCTCCTTCCTTTGTATCCCCTTTTACCCTGTGTCTCCCAGGAATCCTGACCTCTGTGAAGAGATGCTGGTGTGTCTTGGTCAACCCAAGCCAGAGAACCATTAAGAAGGGGCCTTCGTTCTGGATTCTCCAACACAACACTGCTGTCCCAGCTGCGACATACTGTCACAGATGAGAGACTGGGAAGGGAAAAGCATATATATATAGATATATATAGATATAGATATATATACAGGAAACACCGCGTCCTTGCACTTGCTGCTGGGGCTGGCGGAGCAGTCAGCTGACGGCATCACCCAACATCTGCCACAACCTACATTTCCTTTGCAGACAAATTGAAGAATTGGTGGGGTTTTGTTTTTGTTTTTGTTTTGTTTTTCAGGAAAAAAAATATATATATAGCAACCATACTCCCTTTGCTCCCCCTTTCCCCTGCTGAACCACAAAAGCAGACCACAATGATGGTAGAAATCCCATTCAACCCAGGGTGTACACGGTCCAGTTCAGTGGACAGCGCTGTGTTCTCCAGTCTGCTGCCCCCTAGAGTGCAAAGGAAAATGATCATACAGCCAAGCAAGAGAGGTCGCAGCGGCAAGACACACACACACAGGTCATCTGTTTTCTGAGAAAGCAAGGAAAACAAGAAAAGAAAAGCAAGAAAGAAAGAGGAAGAAAGAAAAGGAAGGAAGGAAGAGAAAGAAAAGAAAGAGAGAGAAAGCAAGCAAGCAAGCAGGAAAGACCTCCCATTTGGAAAAGAGGAAGAGGAACACTGGATTATTGTTTTTTGGGGTCTTGACACTGGGCTGCAAAATCTACCTTCTTCTGCCTCCCTTCCCCTCAGCTCCCATGTCTTGTTGTCTGTTTCCCTCTGCCCCTGGCCCCTCCCTCTCTGTGTCCTGGTCCTGCTGAGGGCCACTGCAGATAACATTTATTTGAAATGAGAGAGAGAGAGAGAAAAAAAAGCAAGAACAGAAAACAGAAGCCTCTGGAAGAGAAGTAGACATTGTATGTTTCTGGTTTCTCATGACAAAGGTGCAGCTCGTAGGAGATTTGTATGGATGTGCTTTTAAGTTATGTATATTATATATAGCAGGAAACATATTAAAATAAACAGTGCTGGTAAGTATGATGCTGACATTTTCAAGTTATAATTATCTGACGTGATTGATGTATCTCAAGGTTCCTAGATCTTGCTGAACTGGCCCAGCTGAGACTGGACCCTGAGTGTGGCCAGTTCCCTTGATGGGCTGACAGTTCAGTGTAGTAAAACTGTATGTGGTATTTGTAACTGGGTGATTGGTGGGGAGAGTTGCCCCCCACCTACAAGGAGAGATGGGGGTTCAGCAAGGGAGAAGCAACACAAATAGTTCCCAGCAAGCCAGTCTGAGATGCCTTCTCTAGCAGTTGAAGCCAGGACTTGGTCTGTGCGCAGACAGAGTCTGGAGTCAGGACCAAGACTGACAGTACAGGTCCCCCGGCTCGCCCTTCCTACCTCCTTAGGGGCTTGCCTTGTTTTCTAGTCCTCTCTTTATTTTATTATTACTTTTGCCACATCTTGCCCTTTTCTGACCACACTGTAGTAACTAGCGCCATACCCAAGGGAAGAGGGTGCCTCTGATCAAGGTAGACTATGGTGGCTTTCATTGGGCTTCCCAAAAATGTCCAGCTCAGTCTCCTGCTCCTCTTCCATTTTGGAATCATTCTCTTCTTCCTGAGCCAAAATAGCCATAATAAAGAGACCAGAGCATGTCAGGTTCTGATGGGTCAAAACTGCATTTCTAAAGGCCTCACCTGCCCAGAACAATGAAAAATGAAGGGCCCTGTCACTCACGGGGCAGTCTCTGCCTTAGAGCGCGGCTTGGGAGCCTCTGCGGCAGTCAGCATCTGAGTCTGCGCCCTCAGAGTCCCAGACATGGCCTTAAACCACAGGAGCCCTCGGAGAAAACCCTGTCACAAGCACACAGGGGCTGGGCTTGCTCCAGCTTGCCTGCGCTCAAGGAATAGCCCTTTCTGAGAGACAGCGCTCCGTGGCCCTTTTACTTTCTTAGTCTAGTCCTGCTTCTAAACACTTAATAAATTCACTCAACAAATATGTGTTGAGTATCTGTGTGTGCCAGGCATTATTGTCAGGCTGAAGAGAAGTGTGAAGGGAGAGAAGGAATCTAAGAAGCCACTTTGTATCTCTAGCCATGGCTGGCTCATCTGAGAACTTTCTTCCTCTCCTCCAACTTTTTGGACCTAGCTTGGGGATAACCCCAAAGGCCCCCGTCTAGATGTGCCTCCATTTTTGCTTGCCATACACCTTAGCTACTCCCATGGTGCTGGCTTAAAGCAGGATAAGAAACTAGAATAGTTTTTATCTCGGTAAGCAAACGGGAAGTAGAACAGGGTTGTCAGATGACAGACTGATGGTCCCACCACACACACACACACACACACACACACACACACACACATACACACAAACACACACACACACTGGGGTACAGCAGCATACTTTCCCTGCACCAAGTTCTATGTATAATCACGCTGAAAAAGCTACAGAACCTTCTTCCTGCCCTTCTCAACGTAAGATCTCCCACCCATTCTGGGCCAACAGCTGGAATGGCATGATCCTCTTTAGGTTGCTAAGAATTTGGCTCAGCTGCCCCTGGCTTTCCCAGGCACCACCCTTCCTGAGCACCCTACACACACTTCAGAGCAAGAGGGAGGATCTTTGTTGTGGCTTTTGCACCTGTCTCTAGACCTTGGGGGTGTGGCTCTAGGACAGAGATGACCTATCCCAGCTTAGCTTGAGGGCTGCTAGGATTTGGAACAACCCCGACCCCATTGGATGATGCTCTGACCTTCTGCAGAGAGGCAGGCAATGCCACCAGGGAGGAGGGGCCCTGCAAAGCTGAAATACAGGGGCACTGTTCCCTCCCCATAGAGAATAGGGACGTTCGTCTTGTCTGTCTTCAACCTATTTTCCTTTTTTTCAAATGCTTCTCATCTCTGTGCTGCCTCTATGATCCAGGAGGCCAGGTAACATAGCAGGAAATGTCCTGGAGAGCGGTCAGGGTTCTGAGTGACGCTCCTGGCTCAGCCTCTAACTCAGTATGTGACAGTTGGGCTAGTCCCATTCTCTTTGGACCTCAGTTTCCCTGCCTTCAAAATGAGCAGAGTAAAAGAGATGGTCTCCAGGGATTTTGTTTCTGTTTTGTTTTTTTTCCCCACAGTGCCATCTTACCAACTTTTATTTTTGCTTATTTTGCTCTCTCTGGATCTTTTCCATCTGAGGGTAAGGGAAGTGTCAGAAGTGTCAGTTTTTGAATCCTGCAAGCACATTTCAAGACTGGCCTGAAATTGCATGAGAAACATCATTCTAAATAGATATATTTTTTTCAAAAGCACCTTACCAACCAACTGCAATGCTGTCCTGTTCTTTTTAACTCACACCCCTCTCTCCTCTCTCGTCCCCATGCTCCCCACCTCAGTGCTCCGTGCTGTATGCGTGTGCTCTCTGTTCTTGTATACTCAATAAAAGTGAAATAAATGTGTTTGATGCTGAACCACAGACTTCCTCTGCCTCCCTCTCTCCCTCTCCTCCCTCCCCACTCCCTCTCTGTCTTTCCTTCTCTCGAACCTTGGCTACTGGTACGTTGGTATAAAACTAGATTAGAAACCTCCCAACTTAGAATACTTTTATTCAACAAATGTTCAGAACTCCCAATGAAGCCCAAGACAGTGGCTGGGCTCTGTAGTAGGTCAGCAGCAAATAGGGCAAAAGTCCTTACTGTGCAGGAGCTGAGAGGCTCTTGAGAGAAATGAACAACCAAACAGGCAGCTCCCTGTTTAAAGGCAATGACAATGACAGAGTGATCAGCACCAGGAAAGAAATGCAGAGAGGGAGATGTGCTTCAACAAAGTGGTCAGGGTTGAGAGGGCAGCTTACTGGTAGAATGTGTGCTTAGCATATGTAAGGTCTCAGGTTTGATCCCCAGCATGTCTCCCTCCAACAGGAAAAAAAAAAAACAGCCAGTTAAGGGCCTCCCTGAGGAGGTAGTGTGAGCTGAATGAAGAGAAAGATCAAGTAAGGTAACAAACTTGGGTGAGAACAAGCACATAGGAGCAGTAAGCAGACTAGTTCCAATGCCCGGAGGGATGTGGTGAGGGAAGACCATGCTATCCCTCCTGTACCCCCTCCCCCACAGTGGGAGCCTTGTGGATAAGTCAGGTACTCAGGCCTCCACTCCAGCCTTTGACCATAACCTTCATACATGTTGCCATAGCCTATCACCTGCTCCATGATTGACCTTTTTTTCTTTAAATTGGCTAACTTGAATGATTGTTTTAAAAGAAGCTATATTATTACTGTTTCCATAAATGAAAAATTAGTGTTATTTGCCAAAGGAAAGACTCTCCATAAAAATGAATGCAAAGGTATTACCAAAAAAAAAACCTCCAAAAAACCCAAACATATAAAATCTAGACTCGTTCCTTGGACCATTTGAGGTACATATACTACATTTTCTCCTTTATTCTATCAGTGACTTGCCCCAGGCCACCTTTCTATATTGCCCAAAAGCAAACCAATGAGTCTTTTATTCCACACATATGTATTTTTTTCAGAGTTGAAACCTTGTTGTACATACCATTTTACATATTTTTAAAAATATTTTTTTAAACCAGTCCTGAAGCTTGAATTCAGAATCTAGGTGCTGTCCTTGAACTTCTCTTGCTCAAGGCTAGGGTTCTAACGCTTGAGCCCTAGGTACATTCTGGTTTTCAGGAAAGTCTCATGGACTTTGAACTGTGATCCTCAGATCTCAGCCTTTTGAGTAGCTAGGATGATAGCCAGAACCTGGTTCTAAATACTTTTATCCAGAGCATTTACTCATAATTTCAGATATTAAATATCATTTTCTTATAAAGGTAATTTACTAAATAATGCAAAGGCTGTGTGATAAAAAGTAGTTCTCCAGCTGTCTCTGGATTCCCATTATTGTTAAAGATAATTGCTGTGAGGTGCTTTGTGAATTCTTCCCAGAATTTTCCCGGTAGGTTTCCTTTAATGATTGGTCACTACTGAGATTCTGGAATAGGGCTTGGTTTGCAAACACTGGGTCCCCACACAACTCAGGGTCATATGCTCCCTGGATCTGTATGACCAGCCTCAGCTTCTTGGGAATGATTGGTTCATCTAAATCAGTGTTTCTGAACTAGGATTGGAGGGAGGATGATGGAGCACTGCCTGGAGACGTTTGTTGTCCCAACTGAGGGGTGCTCCTGGCATGTGAGGCCGCAGCTCTGGGTTGCTACTACATCCTATAATACTTAGGACAGCTATCTACAACAAAGAATTATCTGGCCCCAAATATACCAAGGATCAGAAACCCTGATTTGAATAAAGATTGCAAGCCAAAGGCAGGGCTTCCTGGGCCATCAGGCTACTTCTTTTATGTCCAGTGTTAAGTGTTCTGGAGTCTCTGAGGTGATGGTGAACCCATCTATAACAGGGAGCTGTGAGACTAAGACTAGAAGTGGGAAGCTGAGCTACATCAGGCAGGAAATGGGACTGACAGGCTGAGATTGATGTGCTTAACTTCAGAGGTCACTTCTGGTTAGCCCTGCAGGAGCCCACTGTGATTAGCATGATTGCAGTGCCAGCCTAGTCTGCATCCTC